CTCAAACTACAATGCTCTCTTAAATTTGTACATAAAACAGTAAAACAATGTTTATTGAGTCGAAGTTGTTCTACACAAACTCTGCAGTTTCCATAGTAAAGATGCCTTAGATATATTTTACGTGCTACTTTAAAATCAAAATAAGGCTCCTTTACTATATGTTTCTCATGCCTCCAGACTACTAATATGGCTACTGTTACCATATAATTTGCAACTACCACTTTTCTCTTTTTTGCCTTTTGCTCATCTCCTTCTTTATCCATGTCAATATCCAAATTCTGTAATTTAAAATCATGACAAATGAACCAGTAGTATAATTCAGACAAATGAATCTTGAGCAATGGCAAATGGAAGTGGACATATATGCTCCAAGACATTGCCAGAAAAGAAAGAAAAGAAAAGGTTTATTCCCTAAAGCACGCAAGGCCTTCTTTCAACTTCGGATTGTCCCACCACCGAACCTAGGATATCAATCATGTTTGCCTCTCAATTCTCAATCACCATCTCAAGAATGCTAGTCCCACAATAGACTTTAAAAAAAATTTCATAATTCATTAACGCTTCTGTGGTAAGTGGTAACAGCATTCTGGTTCAGATTTCTAAGAAATAAATGTCGGTTGCACTAAAAATATGTGGGATGATATATCTTAGCCTTCCATCTGAAATTTACGAATGATTGTGTCAGTAATTGCCTTTGCCTGAGGTGAGGAAGGGTGTCAAGTAGTACAAAAGGTAGGTAGTACCAATAGAAAATTGGCTAGTTTCACGAGAAGCATTTAAAAACCTATTCAAGAGTCTTTAAATAACTGAAAAAATAAAAACAAATATTTTCTTGGATAATTTGGATGCATGGAATATATTTTTAACGGTAAGATGTTTTCCATTGAACCAAACGGATCCTAAGAGTGGCATAGACCTCAGTAACACAAACAGAAACCAACTACAGTGAACAATATTGCATAACACAGAGCAGAAGGAGAATTTGTACAAAGTTGCCAAGGGCCTCTATGCGAAAATCTATTGCTAATGGCCTGCAGAAGTAATTACTCTATGTTAGGATAACAACACATATTTGTTTCTCTTCCAGCTCATACATGAGAATAAATTCATAAGCATTTTGATCAGCCATCTTACTGCCTCACAGTATAACTATAACCATTTCTCATAACACTTTATTTCCATTTTGCAGTAACAAAGTGTCTCTCTGCGATGAGAAATTCGTGATTTGTAACCAATCAAATGAAATGCTAAAGTGAATCTTAACAGAGGTTCAGAAGCAAAGCCAAAAGAGGTGGGCCTAATGTCTGGTACAATGAAAGCTTTTGAGCATAAAGCAAAATGTAGTTTACACCAATCACATAGTAAACCACTATTTGGCTAAACGGCCATTAGTGGATTCCATCACAGATCTTGTAGCGCTGCTTTACGAATTGCAAATCATTCATAACTTTCAAACAATCTATTTATTACTGCTTCAAAATACATGTGCACACAAAAGTATATAGAAACTAAAAAGAAGCCTAAACTGAGGAGAACATTAATTTATTTACAAAAGTTGCATCTTACCCCAACTTTCAAGAAGTCAAAAACAAAATTTTGTTTGTATGGAAGACAGCATCAGCTATACTGAGCCAGAGAAACAGGTGCAAAGGAACTTCTTTTGTCATTAGATATCTGATGAACAAGACAAGAAATGAACCAAACAAAACTTGAACAAGTCCACCTGAACAGAAATGGATATGAAAGATAAAATGGATATGGTTTCGTTTCTGTCTTGTTATTGGGGATAGCTCAAACAAACTAAAAAGAGGGATCTTGCCGTTGAAATTTTCTACTGTATAGCATTTTCACCATTTGTTTTTAAAATATCCACAGCAAGTAAAGGCCATAAATTTAGTCCAGAATTACAAAAACCTACAACAAGTAGCTAAATTAGAAACAACCCATAAAACATTAATGCTAGCAAAATCACTAAAACACTAAAAAAACCCGAGAATCACATCGAAACAGAAGAAAAGGCACAACATTTGAACTTACTGTGAGAAAACCAGAAGCCCAAGATCCAAATCGCTTATCCTTGAAGCCACCAGAAAGGAGAAGCAAAGAAAAAGATTGAAATCCAGCAGAGGCAACTAGCAAGCTGTAAGTTCCCCAAAGGCCAAAAGGCAACAGCAGAACGGAGTAGAGCTTTTAGTTGTTACCTTTGGACTGAAGAACCAATTCGAGAAAATTAGGCACGGGTAAGTAGAGAGCACTCGGAACAGTCTTGTGATTGGTGAAGTGATGGGTAGATACGTGGCAGGAGTGGTGAAGGGTAGAGGGATGGCCGGAGGAACAAAGGGCAATGGGGGAGACGGTGGTGGAAGAGGCAAAATGTTAGGGTTGAGGTGGAAGCAACAGTGGACATCAGAGCAATTGTGCTGAGGAAAAACGGTTAATTAGATAGAGAAGGGGACGCGAATGAACTTGACCCGATTTTTATTTTTTACCCACGTTGGATCGTCGTGTAGACCCGTTTTTGAGGGTTTAGATGTGGAATTGGAATTAGAATTCTTTTGGTCTGATAAAGAATTCAACTCATGGAATTGGAACCTCTTGAAATTAGAATTCAATGCTAATTCTATGGAAAATGCAGCATCCAAACACAAGAATTAGAATTGGGGTTCCAATTCCAATTCTAAACCCCAATTCTATGGGGTACCAAACATACCCTTAGATAAATTGGCCACCAAAAAGAGATTTAAAATCCGCTAAGGTCGAGTGTTCCAAATCTATACCTACAACTAGAAAAGAAAAAATTCAAGAAAATGTTTACTAGTACACCTCTCTAATTTAAATGGGTAAAAAGAAAAAGTTTAGATGCTGTCGCTGACCAAAAAGAAAAAAGAAAAATAAATAAAATTAGAGGCTAATACTAGATGACAGGTCGTGGGTACAAATCTTCCTCCCTCTCTACTTATTAAATTTTTTGAAAAAATAGTGACCCGCCTTTTCTTTTTCTTTTTTTTTTCCTTTTTTATTTTTTGGTCAGTCGTTCGTGAGACTATACTTTTGCCATCAAAAGATGATGGGCGCTAAGGCCCTCGTGGCGCGGTTGCACGTGAACAGCAACCGCTTGTGAGAATAGGGAGAGGGAAATGAAATGGAGGCCCGGCCAAAGTACAAACGGCTGGTCGCTGGGTGATCGAATAAGCAACGCCCAAAGTTCGTTTTCATTAGCCAATCAGCGCTCTCTGCATGCTTCAACTCCATCGTCACTTACGCCACCTTACGGTCTCCTGTCTGAATTTCATTGGTCCTTTTCTTCTTCTTTTTTTTGTCGCTTTTTGCTACTACGTATAAGTTCAGATCGATGCTGTTAAATGCATTACAGAGGGGCGCAGCAGATAACGACGAACAGTTTTTAATGGACACGAAACGGAAAGAGGACAGCGGGTCTTTTTTGTTTTTGGTTAAAATGTGATAAGCAACAATTAAAGTTTATTGGCTCAGTAAGGTAAGAAAGACGTCCGATTCTGATTAGAATAAAGGTGTTTTTTTTTTTGTTGGAGGTGCTGCTTGCTGCTGCTGGGCCGCTTGTTTGGTCTGGTGTTACGTCAGAAATGAAGAGACACGTAGCTGGTAATGAAGAGGCGTCGCCGTTCAATCCACGAATGAGGCCGTGACAAAGGAGCCAAGCCATCCTCCTCCCATAGTGCTTGCTTCTATCATCTGTCCCCAGTCGGTCTAATATGGAGTATAATTTTTCCTGCTTTGTTCTTTTGTTTTTTTTTTTGCAATAATTACCTCGGTCAGATTGGGTTGAGAGAGAATTGAGCTGCTTCTAATTCTATTGCTAATGAATGAAGGAAGCAATTACAAATGACTTGTGAGGACAAATAAGTGCACATTTCAAAATTGGTTGAATGTTAGTCAGTAAAAAGTAAAAAATGTGAAAGGATGGAAGTGGTTTTTGAGGCGTTGGTTGGCAGTGGGCACCGCCAGAGACAGCCATTCAGGTGAGAGCGTATGGCTACTGGCGTAGAATCCGGGGATAAGCGGAGAAAGTAGCGGCACGAGGTTTTGTTTTAGTTGTTTCTCTCTCTCTCTCTCTCTCTCTCTCTCTCTCTATTCAATCCAATTTCCTCTCTAATCCTCTCTCTCTCTCTCTCTCTCTCTCACTTGAGAGTAAAACGCTATAAAACGATTTGAACTTATCTGCTACCCAACAAAAGATATCGCCAAAACAGAAATAGTAGTAATAACAAAAGGAACTCGCCAGAACAGACTAGAACAGTCATGGAGATGGCGGTTGGGTCTCAGAATCTGATGATTTTTCTTCTTTTTCAAAATTTTCTTAGTTGGTGGCGGTGGCGTTTATACTAAAACTTTTTGTATGGCGTCGTGCTAAGTAATGTGTATATGCGTGTTAGCCAAGCCGGGTTCGAATTCTCTCTTTCTGTCTTCTTCATCGAATTACGGTGGCCGTCGACGCTTTTTTATTTCTCTCTCTCTCACACACACACTAGTAGTCTTGTACTATACTAGCAGTGTGTGCTAATCCTCCTGTAGATCATGTTAATCCGTCCTATTTTCTTAATACTAATATAAATAGTTCTCCATTGTTGTTGTGTAGATTAATTATATTACTGCTGTACTGTGCTGGATTCTATAGAGACGATGATGATGATTTAATAATGATGGCGATATTTGGAGTCGAGAAGAAGTGGTAGATGTAGATTTAGGTGTCTGTGTGATTATTGGCAATAGATTAATGAAGGCAAGTCGCTTTCTTTCGATATTTTATGCGTGAATCCAGTTATTGCCACTGCTGCTCTGTTGTTGTTTGTTGTAATTGTAGAGAAAACAACCCCAGATGCTTTATGTTGCATTTCCTCAATCCGCCCCCCCAACTTGAAGGTTTTGATTTGATGGGCAAATCCAAAACAGGCGGGCCCTTTTAACTCGCTAGCTTCCTTAATCAGTTACAAAAGCGAAATCACGCCCCCTCCGCCCCCACCCCGACCCACGACCACTCTCTGCCCCATCCCCAGCCGTATATAAGAGTACCCCCCAGAAAAAGCCCCCGGTTCTCAGCCCCCGGATTCTATTCCTCTCTTTGGAATTTCTCGACCACTTTAATTTCTAGGCCCCTATCCCAACTCAAACCACCATCTACTTCCGAGTAGAAGCAGACTGCAGGATGAGCAAGAATGCTTCCGAAGCACTGCAAGCAGGGGACGACGGAGATGGATTAATAAAGGGCATGGATGTCATCATGGAAGAATCTGCCTTTCCTGCAACAGCATTTGATGATGATGAAGATCATATGAAGCAAGATGAGCAAGTGATGAGCGTTAATGGTGGTTGCGGTGAGAGGGAGATCTGGTTTGGAAGAGATCATCGTGGTCATGATCAAGACAATAGTCTACTTGATGATGACGATAATGATGCTGATGTCAATAATGATCCTTGCTCCCTCTTCTACACTGACTTCCCTCCCATCCCGACTTCCCATGCATGTCTTCCTCTTCATCATCTTCCTCCACTCCCCTCCCTGCCAGGGCCGTTGCTTCCACATCCTCCTCCTCTTCCTCCTCGTCCTCCTCCGCGGCTACTTCTTGGGCAGTTTTCAAGTCAGAGGGACGATTCTTTCCACCCTAATTCAGAGGCAGAAATGCAGCGCTACCACCCCCTGGAGAGGCAGTGTGATGAGGTGGTGAATGCTGCTGCTCCGGCGGCGGCCTTGTCATCCACCGCCTCCATGGAGATTCTTCCACTACCTGATGACTACTGTAGCAACAGGGATATGAATTGCATGAATGCGATGGAGAATTTCGGGTACATGGATCTGCTGGATAACAGCGATATCTGGGACCCCTGCTCAATTTTTGAGAGCGAAAACGTTAACCCCCCACAACAAGATCACGATCACCAGTTTCAAGAACGGAAACCTGCATCATCAGCATGTGCGACCCCCAACCACCAGGAAGACCAAATACAAGCTCCCTCTCAGCATCATCAGCCTCTGGAGGAAGACGGAAATGATAATGGAAATGATGGCGGGCTATACTTTCTACAAGGAAACAGCGAGCTTGGTGTTATATTCCTGGAATGGCTCAAGCAAAACAAAGATCACATTTCGGCTGAAGATATGAGGAGTATCAAGCTCAAGCGCTCTACCATTGACTGCGCCTCCAAACGTCTGGGCAGCACCAAAGAGGGCAAGAAGCAATTGTTGAAGCTCATTCTGGAGTGGGTGGAACAATACCAACTTCACAAAAGAAGAGCCACAGAAATGGGTTCAAGAGCTGCAGCTGACTTTGACCCAATCTCCTATCACTATCATGAACGGCACCGGCTGCTGCAGCTGCTCACGAAACCATAAACCCTAACCCTAACCCTAGCCCCACTACTACTGATTTGATTAACTGCAAATCGTTGTTCCCTGTAGTCATCAAGATCCATCAACTGCTTGCCTTTCTCCCTCTCCATCACCTTGGGTTCCACCTGCACCTCCATGCGAGTCTTGTCCTAACTCCCTCGCGGCGCCATTCCCGCCCACCATGGGAGGATATGCGCGTGATCCTTATTCTAGTGCTGCAGCGGCAACTGTTGCTGTTCCTGTTCCCGTGTCGAACCAAACTATGAATAATGCAAATCTATATCTCGTTCCAGCAGAATATCATCAACCCACGGACTCTCCTCAATCGTGGAGTGGACCATATTCGATGCCGCAGGCTCAGTACAACCCGTTCCCGGATAATACTAAACTTCCCGTGTCCGGCTCCCAAGCTCAAGCTCTGTATGCAAATCCATATCCGTATCAGGTTTTTGATGGGGGCAGTGGCGAAAGATTGGTGAGATATGGTTCTTCAGCCACCAAGGAGGCCCGCAAGAAAAGGATGGCACGCCAACGACGGATTTCTCTGCACCAATATCGGCATCCATCATCATATCATCATCATACTCACCAAAATCAGCCTCAGAGTCTAGTGAATGAACAACATGCAACGAGGATCCCTGCTGTTGGAGATGATTGCACCTCCAACTCTCGAGCTAATCCAGGGAATTGGATTTACTGGTCCCCTGCAGTTCCTCCGCCTGCTCCTGCTCCGATGGCTTCGACTATGCCGCCTTTGGTTTCATCTGATAAACCATCACATAGGCAAGCACCAACTCAACCTGTGGATCGGGCGTACCTGCAACCGCAGCAGAATCATCAGCGTCAGGTTCCATCATCTGATAGAAAGCAGGTGTATACATCATGTTTGGCCTCTTTTTTTTTTATATATATATATACATATATATATATTCACGCTCGTTGCTCTTTCAATGTTGATCATGTGAGTTTCGGTGTATCTGTTGGTATAGCTTTCTGGATACTGTTGAATTGTAACGGTTGTTATTAATATTGTCATGTAGAGTTGGAAAACGGAGAAGAACTTGAAGTTTTTGCTGCAGAAAGTGTTGAAACAAAGCGATGTGGGTAATTTGGGAAGAATTGTGTTGCCCAAAGTACGTTCCTCAATTTATTTTGTAATTCATAGATTTGTATCCTGATCATTTAATTATGAGATTGTATCTTACTGACATTGTAAATGTTGCCTACTTTGTAATTGGATTTTCGATTTGATCCCTCAGAAAGAGGCAGAAACGCATCTTCCTGAACTTGAATCAAGGGATGGAATCCCCATAGCCCTGGAAGACATTGGCACTTCTAATGTCTGGAACATGCGGTATAGGTATGATGACAAGTTCATTTAACAATTTTAAGCTTCGTTACTTGAGTAGTACGTAAATGGTTTTTGAAAAAATAAACTGATTTGTGTTTCGCATGCCACTCTCTATTAACGGCTTTAATTTCCAGGTTTTGGCCAAATAACAAGAGCAGAATGTACCTTCTTGAAAACACCGGTAAGCAATCCATTTTTGTTGATCCCTACCATTAAAAAGTGTCTCAAAACCAAAAAATAAATAAAAAGTTTCTTTCATTAAAGTGCGTTTTCTTTCGCCTCTAGGGGACTTTGTGCGCGTAAATGGACTTCAAGAGGGCGACTTTATCGTCATATACTCGGACACGAAATGTGGCAAATACGTAAGCAACTTGTTGATTCCTTTTTAGACTGTAGCCCTCCCAATCATCTAAGCAGTTGCTCAAGTTTATTTAATTAAGATGACGCTGCTTGCTGTACTACAGCTGATAGAGAGGAGTGAAAGTTCGGCAGCCAGGGTCAAAATCAGAGGCAAAGAAGCCGGCAAGGAGAAACCAGCGTAATGTGCCCAAGCGGCCAATAACTTTGCATTTGCATCTTTCAAACAAACGGTGAAACGAACAACAAATTAGAGGAGGAACAGCAACCAGCAATATGAATGAAAGAAGAGATGTGGCATTTTCTTTTGACAAATGGTTTTTGTGGCATTGCAACGGAATAAGAGTCTCAGCAAGGTCCAAAGGATATTTAACCATTTCGAGACCAAAATGAAGATCCAGTATATGCTTTAATTTGCTTCATCTCAGTACGTATATGTTTCAATTTGCTTCATCTAGCAATCTCCTAACCTGTTAAAATGTTAATCCCAGTTCATTTTTTTTGGTTGGCCCGCAACGGGTGCAAGAAAATTTGCTTCTTGTGGGTGTGTATCTTGCTGCTGGTTTAACTGGTTTCTTCGACCATGTAATTTCTTAAAGCTCTGTATGTTTACTAGTATAAACTAGAACCTAGTGACCTGTACTCAGTCAGTGACTTGTGTACTTTTGAACTCCATCATGTAAAGTAAAAACGTCTTGTGTTGTTGATCTTGCATTCTGGAATTTTAAGATCTGTTTTATATATGCACATAACTGCTCTGCTGTTATTAAATTTTGAATGTTTAGACTTCTGTGCTTCCTTTCAGGTTTTTGCATGAGGCATGGTTACGAACTTGTATGTGTGTGTGTGTACATATATATATATATATATATATATATATATATATATATATATTTATTTATTTATTATTATTTATTTATTTTTTGTAGACGATCGCGTGCCTACACCTAAGCCCAATACAAAATGCATCAATAACCCCTAACCCCCAAATACTTCTTGTAATTAAGATCAGATTACAAGTAAGTGTGTGTGGAATTAATCACGTGTTGAGTGCCAAACAAAAATAAAAAGATTTAATCACGCGTAGAGATCTCATTTACCATAATCAGAATCTTTTACTTACACTCATGCATGTTTTTTCTTTGAGTAAATTTTGTATACACTAACACGGTTGGATGGATGGCACATGACCAAATTTTGTGTATGTGTCATATATAATGGTGATAGTGTCTATAATGATGATAGTGTAAAATGGTGACAGTGTATATAAGATTAACCATTTTCCCTTTTTTTCTTTTTTGAAAAATAAAAGGAATCTTTTTACATGCGTAAAAGGACTTCATAAAATTTGAAATTGTGTAGTTTGGCCGCATTAATTTTAGAACCGCGGTTATGAATAACAAATTCGGGTTGATTAGTCTACAAAAAGGATCTTCTATCCCACATCGAAAGATCGTGGAGTCTTCACTTTGGGTTTAAGGTCCATGGGGCATCCTCCTGTCACCAATTGGCTGGATGGATGTTTCTCGTGGGTCCACCTTAATTGCTCGTTTGGGCCGGTGTGTTCGATGCATTCCTCTGCGTGTGTTCATTGTTTGTGTGTGTGTTAATTCCGCATCGGAAAAAAAAAAGTCTACAAAAAGGAATTCTTAAAATTATTGATATTTCACCTGATTTTGATAGCAGAAGAGCCAAAGCAGCAAGCCCGTGACAATAGATGCTCCACTGAGGGAGTGAGTGGCTGGATTCCTAAAGTGGTCTGAAAACCATGGACAATATGTTTGAGCCCAATCGTGATGGCTGTCATTTTTGGGGCTTGTGTGAGGATCCAGATTTAAGGAGACGTTACCTGCCCGAGAGCAAACCATGACATGGCTCCGTGTGTAGATTGAAGCCCAGGTTTTAGAAAATGGATTGCTTATTCTCTTTTCAAATAATTTTATCACTTTGGCATCCAAATTATTTTCAAAGAAAATGTTATTTGCACTCTATCTTATTATTTGCATTGTCATCATTTATTTTATTATATAATATAATAAATAAAAATTACTATATGATTAAAATGATACTAAGAGTGCGATTAACAAATATGAGAATGCAAGTACTAACATTTTACTTCACACAACTATAATTTTTGTCTCGTTTCTTACGGAAATATTCCCATTGGTACTCCCTCCCGTCCTCCTCCTCCTCCTCCTCTCTCTTCGGATATTTAGGAAACCTTGATGTTGTAAATTATAGTAGCATGTTATTTCCTCTCAGACCCACAGCTGGCAGGGGAAAGATGAGAATCAGTACGATGTTTTTTCTTCGCCCCGAAATTAACATAACAATCTAGATAGAATTCTTATATGAAGTAACAACTGATGAAAATGGTCCAAGGATTATATGTATGGCCTGTTAACTGAAAAAATTTTCCCTCGTAGATAAGAGGGTTTTAATTCTGGTCATTTTTTCCGTTTTCAAAGATGATGATATAATAGAGGTACTAAAGAAGCACAGTTCATAACATTTTAGCAGAAATCTCCTTGATCAGGGTTCAGTCTACGAGGTTGAAGATCAAGGGGACATCAAAAAAAGAAAAACAGAAAGGAAAAAACAGATCATATAAGATTCCTTCCCTTGGATGAAGTAATGAGGCTTAACGAGCCCCAACAAACCAGCTGACACAGCATTTACTTTTCTTCGACGCCACAACCACAAATTGGAAGACAGTACTGAAATGAGTACAGGTATTACTTATGAATCCTGTGTTTACTTACCAGTATTAGTGACTAGTTACTACTAGCAAAGAAAAGCAGTGGAGAGACGGACAATTGGCTGCTGAAGCCTGGAGGAGGCCGATCAGAAAACAAATAATGATCTCCCATCTCAACCTGTTACCTTACCATTAAATTTTATTTCAGATTTCAGAAAAAAGCGTTTTTATCTCTCTCCAGTCAAAACTTTAGCTTTTGGTTGGGTAATGGCCAATGAATAGTCCTTCGCATGGCCATGCAGCTCTCGATTATGATGTACCTGTTACAACATATTAATCTAGTTGCAGCTAACTTCTTCTGCTGATGCAAAGAGCAAATTGGTATGGCTAACAAATTCTTCACACGAGAAAGCGGAGACACTTAACCAAGTAGAAACATGTCTGAACCAAGTTGCTAACCATATGCTGGCATATGCTGCGTAGCAACTAAAAATGCAGAGAAATATATGTACGTACGTTTGCATCAAGATTTTTTTTTGATATAATGATGTCTTTATCAAGAAAGAAAAAGATGAGGAATATGTTGGCGAATGGCGAATGTACGTTTGCCCCCAAAAGGCCAGCGCAGATAGCTGAGCTAGCCACTGGCAATTCAATTGACTGCCATCTGGTGAGATATTGATATCTCGTCAGTCCTGAAGATCTAAATGCTCATCCACTTCCCCCTGCTGCGACTCAAAGGTCCGTTCCCTTGATAGGATTCTGCCCCTAAAAATACTATGTACGTACTACTTTTACAAATCATATGAACCAACCACCACCACACCAATATATAGACTCCATGTGAAACTGGAGGAGACTGCAATTGATGATCAGTGATCTGTGATGACCAGCCCCACTCGAACAGTCCCTTCTTTAATGCATTTACTCCCGCTTCATCTGCTTTTTCGGTTTTTCCCCAACGTACACTATTTTCAGTCTTTAAAAAGGGGGGGATGCATTTCTCATCCATCATAGGTTGAGGTAGAAAAGAGGAGGGAAAAAAACTAAAGAAAAAATGGCAAGGTGGTTTGTGATGCTGTTTGTTCTTGCTCTTGTGGTGGCTCAGACAGGGGCTGCTAGAGATATTCCTAATGACAAGGGTGGTCTTGCTGATCAGAAGAACTTCTTCAACTACGGAGGAGTTGGTGGGTTCAACGGCATTGGCAGTAACGGCTGCCTTTTGGAGGTGTCGGTGGTGCAGTAGGTGGTGGCGGTCTTGGTGGAACGGGAGGAGGTCTGGGCGGGATTATTGGGACAGGGGGTTGGGTGGCTTGGGTGGTAGTGGTGGAGGAGTCGTACCTGTGGGTGGTGTTGTTGGAGGTGTTGTACCCGGTGGCGGGTCTGGTAATCTTCCCTCGCCCTGAGCCTGAGGCCACAGTTGGATGAGATCCTGCCTTGGCGCTTAGCTTCTTCTCAAGGTTGTTTAGTTTTCTTCCAGTCTGGTGTGATCATGGCCACGGCCATTATATTGTGCTACAGTTAGTTGTGTTGTGTTTGGAGCGCTGTTCGTTTGCTGGTTTTTAGTTGTTGCTCTTTTGTCAAAATTAGAGCTAAGTCTTTTAAATTAAATTATGATGATGTCGTGGTGTGTTGCACTGTACTCCAGTGCTATTTAATTAAATAATTAATTACTTGTAATCAAATATTCCCGTTTCTTCTGTTATGCTTATGATTGTTTCACCCGGCGCCGGCGGGGGCCTGAGCTATTATTTATCGAGCACTAACCAGATATTTGGTCTCTAATCTGGGGTTGCTGACATAAATAAAGTTCATGTAGAATATGACGATGGTGCACAAACCAAGAAGTTTGGAGTCATTGTGCAACGCTCTGCAACCCATCACAGTCTCCCAAACCAGAAAGATGGTTCCGCATGCACAATTGCGCTCAAACCATCCCACCACCATTAATTCCCCAAAGCCAACTCGAGCTAACATAACCTGGTTGCATCCAATTTAACCGCTCTGCCTCATTCCTAGTACTACAATTGCTCTGGCAGTTATATACTGTGATTTTATTTGTTTCATGTTTTGATGCACATTTACATCATTTTGTCATGTGGTTAAATTTTGTTTTATTTTCATTTCTCAAAATTGCGAATTTTGTTTGTGTACACCAAATATTATGAAAAATAAAGCTGTGTACGCCAAAGCTGTTTCTAGCATAAGAAGCACAACAACTCGGACATAATCACACCACAAACCGCAACCATCATGCCTGTCCTCTTTTCCTATATCAATGAAGTTTACCAGCTTCTTATTCTGGCTTTCGTGGTTTCATCATTCGGGGGCTCATCACGGCAGCAGCTAGTTTCGCAGCTCTGTTCTTTGCCTTCCATCTCCTACACGGCACTCATTTGTGCTTCCTTGTGATCTAAGGGCGAAACATGCCACAGCTGCTTCCTCGGCTATATGGCTAGCACGAATGCCCCTCTTGGGATCTTTTGTTGATGATGCTCGCCGCGCGGATATGATTTACCAAAAGCTATTGCAATGGACTCCTTTTAACTTTTTTGTATTGGCTTTTGTTAATGATGATTGTTGTGGGATATGATTCCAATAGCTGTTCCAATCGACTCTTCAACTCTTGTACTGGCTTTACTTTAATCTATTGGCTCACAAGTAGATCTAATTTTTAAAAATTCAATAACCTCGATTGTGTCACACCATTTCATCAAGTGGTGTGTCACACCATTTCAATCCATTTCATCAAGTGGTGTGATACAATTTGGGTTACCAAGTCTTCAAAGACTGGAGTACCCAAGTTTAGGCCTAATCTACATATTCAATCTCTTTATTACCACATAACCCAACAAACAAGGAAAGAATATTCCCCATTAATCAAGAATTTCCCTTAGGCGAAGAATAATACATCACAATTCCACCTAAAAGAGGCGCATGAAACCAGGGTCTAGAAATTATGCTTTCACTGCTAAAAAACTGAATCATGCAAGTCAAATAGATAAGCTC